ACGAAATATCATTTTTTAAAATGATGAAAATAAAACTTTTATTTCGTTCAAGGAAACCATGTCATTTGATGAAGCAACATTATTGTTTTAAATAATATTTTTTAAAAGTTTTTCGCAAAATTTAGTAATTTGATTTGTTTAATTTTCTTTTGTTGGATTAATCATTATAACATTTTGTTAAAAATGTAAAAGTAATTATCACTGGTTCACTACATTACATCAATATTTATCGCATATCGAATGTTGCATTGTTTCAATATCTATCCCTTATAGAAATATCATACTAAGAAATATTGAAAAATTATTAGTGATTAAATATTACCAGTAATTCAGTAATTTTTCGGCCAGTACTTAATTTCTGGTGAATACTGATAAAATAAAATCACTGTTAAATATTGATAGTAATCAAATACTAAGAATTATTATGCGAAGATGAAAAATGAAAAAATTATAATGTTTACAAAAATATACTTATATTCCTAATTTTCTCATATCTCATAAACTACTAGATATCGAAGGTTGTCAACACATTCCAAATTTTCGTGAATCCTCCTGCGATAATTTCGATCCCAAGAGGTATACCGCTGGTTACCCATCCATGACCGCATTAAACTGTTGCTTAACCTGACGATCGAGTGCGCACGCGGTGACTCTGATGACTGCAACGATGTTCTTACAATTCATGCTTATATAATGTATCCTTATAATGTTCACAGTATATTATAACATATCTAGCAAACACCAAATAATAGTTACATAATTTTTACTTGTAGTTTATTGGATAATTTGTTGATAGATATTGAAACAATGCAATATTCGATATGCGATATATTGATGAAATGTAGTGAACCAGTGATAATTACTTTTACATTTTTAACAAAATGTTATAATGATTAATCCAACAAAAAAAAAATTAACAAATCCAAGAAAATCCAAATTAAACAAATCGAATTACTAAATTTTGAGAGAAACTTTTAAAAAATATTATTTAAAACAATAGTGTTGTTTCATCAAATGACATGGTTTCCTTGAACGAAATAAAAGTTTTATTTTCATCATTTTAAAAAATGATATTTCGTTTAAGAATATAATATTTTAATGAAATAAAAAAAAACCACAAAATTAAACAAGTACGAATATTAAATCTAAAGAAAGTATTTTCTCCGAAAAAACGGTATAAGAAGTATAAAAAATATGCAATAAGACAAATTAATGATTGCCACTAACGAGTGCTATTCTAAGTACTATTCTATAAGTATTATTGATGTAAAACATTACTGAATTTGAAATACAAGTAACAAAAATAACTACTAAATAAATAAAATATATTATAAGGTGTAGTAAAAAGAAATCCATTATTTTTGCATGAAATTGAAGCCTTCATTTAGCATACCCATATAGAAATATACTAAGAATCATTGATAATTACTTATTTTCAGTATTAAAAATACTG